GCTGTTAACGTTTTACTGTAAAGATTATGTGAGGACACATATATTTACTGAGAGCTGGACCTGGTTACTGGCAGAGCGAGAGAACCTTCCCAGACTCATATCCCTATATCAAGCTTGATATGATCCATCTGGTTGACAAAATAAAGGGTCAAGATGCTGCCCTGAAAGACGAAAAAGCTTTCAACTCCATCACTCAGACACAAAGCCGATGCAGACTCACTTGGTCTTGCAGGGTATAGACGCCAACAAAGCGGGAGCGACGAGTACTCCGAGACCAGCAGCACTTAGTAGTCAGTGATTATATGTATATTGATCGATTGTTAAGGAGAATGCAGCATGATTGAAGGTGTTTGTATTTCCTGCACTAGCGGAGTTGTAGGAATAACCATAGTAAAGACGGTAAATGAGTACGTACAGTAAATGAGTAGGTGATTCTAGTAGTTAGAATGAGCGTTCGAGTAACTAAGGGCCCTATTAGATAGTCACTGGCGTTGTAACTACACAGCTACACGTAGTATTGTTGTACTCGTTTGTACTTATACGGTTCAATAGCCTCCTCAATAATAAATGTGGGCAGGAGGTCATCGTCATCTTCAACATCCTCAGGATCATGTTCAGATACTTCGCGCACATGCAATACCAATCTACAGCACAGAACGGAGTGCATCACCGTTAGTGGACTAGGTGATCATGAGTTAACTTCAGTTAGATAAGAAGTGTCGCGAGATGAAGACACACGAATCCAAGAGTGACAGGAGGCCAGCCTATAAGCTCACTGATAAATCTCACGAATTAGGATTTGGAGGGAGAAAGAATATACCGGGGCAAGGAGGAAGACAGCCATATTGGCGATCGTGATTGCTGTTCTCCAACAATGATCTTCAGTTCCCAAATTTGCAATGAGTGGACTCACGCAAGATCATAAAATAGTAGAAAAGGCCTGCCAAGCGATCATTGACTATGGCTGCTTGTGAGTCTGAAAATTTACCTACCCTCGCAGTAAATCATACTAACAACTTGTCCAAGGTGGAATTCGTTAGCTACACAACTTTTTCATTATTATTTATGCGTCAATACATGCAATATTGGCACTCACATAAATCCAAAGTGATCCAAGCGGTGAGCAGTGTTAAGACTTGAAGAAGAAGCAATATAGTCATCAACATGCCTACCCGGTGAGGTAATCGGAAAGAGTAAATTTCTCACCACATTCACCGCCCAGCAGAGCGGAATAACATACTAATACCACATTTGACTCCTTGGATGCGAAACAAGACGAACTTCCAGTGATTTCGCCTACTTTTGATGATGAGATTTGGAACGTTGCTCATCTATTGGATGTCACTCACTAGGAGTTGTATCTGTGAACCGAATGATAGCCCAAACACATACAACAGAGATGACCTGCATGACAGTTTAGTAGAAGGAGTCTAGAATCAGAATGAGTGAAACCGACCGTCCACGACAGACAAAAAATAGCTAAAACTGTTCGAGATTTATTATAAATTGAATATGCTCTGAGCATTAGAATGACTGGAAAAGAAGAGTTTGGTGGTGTGCTCAGCGGTTGACAGAAAAGAACCCCTCACGGTCAGAGATGCCAATGATAACCCCAGCAAAGACTAGGCAGCATGTAAAGGCCAACGTAAATCACAAGTTCAGCAAAGCATACTTGTCGTGAAGGCTATCCGACTCGGATTGCATATCTGCCGGAGATGGTAAAGTATAGCATCCAAGATATACGTGGATGACTTACGGAAGAGATCCTCTCTATAACATTTCGCTTAAGGACAATTAAGCATCCAACGCGTCGATGATTAGAGTTTGTACACACCCTGTGCTGCTATAGCCATCACTATAAACGGAGCATATCTCGTATAAAGATACAGTACTTTGACTACGCTCCATCTCGAACGCCAGACACGAATCACCTATGCACCGGTGAAAAGATAATCAGACACAATAGCAATACCACCGTGCGATTCACTAGTGCATTACCTCCCGGGCCAGGGATATGGACCAGTCATAGACCTATCAGATTGATATGTTAGCTTCATCAATAAGCTCATTGTATTTCTGATTCTGCTTGGTGCAGTACGAGTGAGTGTGGATGACCCACTAGAAGAGTAAGAAATGACACTGAAAAGAAGATAGAAAAGGTTGCCGTTTAATACGATACTCTTCCTCCAGGAAAAGCAATGAAAAGAATGGGGCTGGACTCACCAGTGACATACTGCCAAAATCAACAATCACAATCATTACAACGGAGTTCAGAAATCATTAGAACGGCACTAATCAGATTTAGAACAAAACTTTCGAAACACGATAACATACAGTGACAATTTGAAGCTTTTCAAGCTCGGAAGGACTTAGTTCCATGCTACAAGTTCTCAGTTCAAGAATCAGGATATCGGTGATAGCGTATGTATGAGGGCCTCTGCCAAAGGAACGGAATGAAGGTGATGAAGGAAGGGAAGAAGAGACGGGGAAGATAATGGCTGGCTATATGTAGATCCAGTCAGGTCCTTGTTTTTCTGGGTCCGAGACTCTCTCGCCCACGCTTTCACTGAGTGCTGGGTGTAATGATGGGCAGGTGCTTCTGTTATTTGGATGAGACACATTCCATTTGTTGCCAACGAAGGATGATGATGGTAATGATGGATTTGTATACCAAGTCAGTCGACACTGGAAAGGACGGCATACCGCATACAGGAACTATGTAGATATCAGAAATCTAGATGCGGAATAAGAAGTCAGCCGGAGGCAGGACCTCGAGCTTCAAGTCTCAGCGTTCAACGCTCAGCTTCAGAGACAGCCTTGGTCTTTGTTTATAGGTGATACGATGGCTGCGCAGGGTAGTGTGATGCATGGAGTGATTACAACTGCACTCATTCCGAGATAGTCTATAAGGTAGTATAAGCCTCAGTTAGGACAGCGTGCCGGTAATCCGTCGTGGTCTTCCGGACGTCAATCGTTACTGCATTGTTCCTGTCGAGACCAACGCCGAAGAAGTGAGATTAGAGAAGATATTACCAGTGACAATTACAATGTGAATGATTACTACGGTGAGCACAGCGATTGAATCCGCAACCGAAAGTAATGATGTTGATTGAACATCTAAAAAGGTGTGAATGACCGTGAACAGAGGCCTGCTAAGAAGCGCGAAGCAGGAGTAAAACAAGAAACATAATAGCGGACCAACGTCAAATTCTTGGACAGTCTTGAACGCAATCATCCCTTCTCAATCAAGGTTTGAACACAGTACAAGTGTGAATTATATTTTGATGGTAATGATTAGATTGTGAACAGAAGGATTATCTCGTCCATTCGGCTTCTAATGTTTACACAATCGCCCATGGTAGGGTGTGGTCGACGTAACATTGAGAGAGCATTTAAGCAACGAAGGCCTTGCCCTTCTCAATGTTCTTCTTAAGCTCAGGCAAGCATGCCTCGAGAAGCTTCTCTTCCTCAGCAGAGAGATGACCAATAGGGTGAATCTTTTCAACACCATTAACCTAGAGAAATAAAGGTTGTTAAAACTTGAGAGGGTGTGGAAGCATCACAAGACGTACACCAAGTTCAACAGGGGAAGAGAAGAAATCAATGCCCTTGTCAGCAAAGAGAGGACTCTTCACAAAGGTAGGTGTAATGACACCCTTTTCTCCGTTAAGACCTCGGAGAAGCGAGTTGGTGAACTTGGCACCAGCATATGCCATAGATAGAGTTGCTGAGCCTGCACCATCCTTGGCTTTCACGACCTCGTCACCACCGAATTGAATCCTATGAATGAGCTTGTCATAGGATTCGCCCTGAAGTCCCTTACCCTTCGAAACTTGCGAGAGCAGAGGAACAATGGTAGGACCAGAGTGACCTCCTACCACAGGAACATCACATTCTGAGGGAGTGGTACCGGAGACCGAAGCGAGGAAACGTGAAGCACGGACGACGTCGAGGGTGGTAACACCGAACAGGCGAGCAGGATCGAAAACACCAGCTTTTTCAAGCGTAGCAGCTACGATTGGTACAGTAGAGTTGACGGGGTTAGAAATTACGAGGATGTGAGCGGTAGGGGCAACACGACCGACGGCGGCAGCGAGGTCACGAACGATGGATGCATTGGTCTACAGAATCTATTGGGCATTGTGATCGTCTGAGTAGTGATACCACTCACATTGAAGAGATCATCGCGGGTCATCTTTGACGCACATTTAGAACGGGATTCTTAGAAATGATGCAGACGGAAGCACTTACCCCAGGCTAAGAGAAGTTTTAGTAGTGGTTTGAGATAGTAAAAGACTAGGCTGACCTTTCTTGGGACACCAGCAGGAATAACGACGACCTTGGTACCTTCAAGAGCATCGTCCAAGTTTTCCATAGCATACCCATTAACCTGACAAGGTCATTAGATGTTGTAGTGTGAATACTGATTGAGAAAAAAGTACCTCACTGTGAGTGTCGACATGGCTAACGTCTGCAGCGACACCAGGAGCTCCACGGATATCGTACAGGCTCAAATTCGACACTAATGGATCCAACTTCAAAAGCAGAGACAGAGGCTGGCCAATTCCTCCACCGGCACCGAGCACGGTAACTTTAGTCTGACGCGCAGACGATGAGGAAAAGAGACGGGCGGAAGGAGCTGTCAAAGCTCGGGCGGTGTTACGTGCAAACATTTTTGGTCGTCGTGGTCGTGGTTTAAGGTCAAGGAATACGGGCAAAAGCGGAAGTGCAGGAAAGGAAAGGTTCCCGGACCGAGGCTTTCCCACTCACTTTCAATTCCGAAAGTCCGTCCGTTCCGTCTTTTCAACCAACCACCTCACATTGGTCGCCCGGAGAACCTTGTGTGCTGTTCGTAGTCGGTGGGAGAACGTGGAATTTCGATGTAAGTGTAAGCCCGTTCTTTACCGTGTGAGGGAGGTGATGAATTGAGATTAACACTCATAGAGATATCATAACATAACTCTCCTAAAATGTAATTGTGGTTTAACAGAAGCATCACAGGCCGACTAGCTCAGTTGGTTAGAGCGTCGTGCTAATACCAATGTTCACGCGAAGGTCTTGGGTTCGATCCCCACGTTGGCCATGATACTTTTTGCATTCCGTTTTGGTGCAATTGCTTCGGCTCAAGTGTGTGGCGATTTCTAAGCGCAACTACAGATTCACCGAAGAACAAGGCAAGAACTGAGAACCTATCATGTGTCAAAACTCCCATGTAGCCGAGAATTCTCTGAATCCTGAGACGGTGTCAGCTTGTGTCCCACAGGATTCCATTTCTCGCACTGCGTACGCTCTGGCAAGCCAGCATCTCCCCCCAGCAATCTTGAACCACTGTCTGCGTGTCTGGGTCTACGCTCGAGCATTAGGCGAGCATGAAGGGCTCTCTTCGTCCCGCTTCCCTCTCCTTTTCGCCGCCTGCATACTCCATGACATAGGCGCTACTCCTGCCTTTGCCAAACTTGACTCGGAGGAACTTCAGCGGTTCGAGATCGAGGGTGCAGACGCAGCGGCATCTCTCTTGCGAGCAGCTGGAGATCCTTCCATCTCACACGACGATATCGAAGAAGTCTGGCGCGCGATAGCTCTGCATTCCACTCCCCAGATTGCTGAGCGAATGGGTGGCCTGGTTCGCATTGTTCGACTTGCCGTTTTGAGTGATTTCCAGAGAGGTGTTGTTGCTGAAAAGGAAGAGTTGCAAGAAGAAACTGAAGCTCAATTTGAAAGATTGGATATTGAAAGGGTCCTTGCGGACGCTGTTATCCAGCAGGCGCTGTGCAGTCGAATGCCAGCGGGGAAAGCTCCGGCTGCAAGTTGGCCTAATGATTTGTTGAGAGCTTATCGAAGCAATCCAAAAGGGAAAGGGGTAAACGAAGGCTTCTAGAGAGAAAGTCCAAATGTCGTGTAATGATCTCAGGCGAATTATGAATCTCGAAATAGTTCATAGAGGCAGTTCTTGAGATCATCAGCATAAAGCATTGCATTGTAAATTTCAATGGGATAAGATAGAAAACCGCACTTGTAGACTAAAGTTCAAAATCCGTGATCATAAAAGTTCCATGTTTCCATCCAGATGTCCAGTGACACCTTTCTCAAGATCAAATTCGGAATCCGTTCCTTCCCCTTCCCCAGCAGCTCCTCCTAATCCAAGCCCGAATATTGGACGACGGAGAGGTTGTCGTCTAGTGGATGCATCTGGAGTGCCCTTCTTTACAAGGACACGGCGGTCCCGTTCTCTCCCTCGTATCACATCAGCCACTACGTCTACTGTATGAGACCGGCGATCGTGATCTGGCGTTCGTTGGCCGTCCTTGGCATGTTGCGTGCGAAGCTCTTGTATTCGCTCAATTACCGTTGACCCATTAGTACCGTGCGGACGATGAGTACCTTCCCTACTCCGAGTCTGGGATTCAATAGACACCCGAGTCCTTTCGGCGCGACCGGCGCTATTCGAGCCATAGCTTTGCAGCGTGCGCACTATTAGAAAGAAATATAGCATCCCGAGGAAGAAAACGAATGTGATGGCGATCCGAGGACCTAGTACAGCTCGGTCACTAAGAGGAGCACGGTCCCGTGGATCAGATTCTGCACCGGTTCGCCAGACAAACGATAAGATTGAGACGATAAAGAGGATCATCGACCATGACATCCACACTGCCGGCATTCCTAGTAGGACCCAGACATTCCACCAGAGCAGCGTCTTCGTTTTCTGCGCTTCCTGTCATCGGAAAGAGTTTTCATGAATGAACTTGTGATTGAATACTGGAAACGAACATACTTCGGCCCAGATAGAAGCACGATACATGCTCCTCATCGTCCCAAACCGTACAATATAGATACATCCGTATGAAAGACTCATGATAGCACACACTAGAGAGAGTAAAGCAGCGGATCTAGTAAGGGGATCTGTCGCAGCGTCCTCGATTTGAAACATGGTTAAAATAGCACTGAAATATTGTACTGGTCAATCATTGTCAAGGAAAAGACTTGCAGGTCACGTACGATAATAACAAAGCTGAGACAACATTTAAAGTCTTCCACTCTCTCATCAAGGAATCAATAAAGGTCTCCCAAGAAAGCTTGAAGCGAATAAGTGAAGGGGATACTAAAGGTGATTTCCAATCTTCTGGCAATGGTAGCGGAAGGTCCACTACGGATGCGACTGCTGCTGCTGCCAAATTTGTGGCAGATGTCGGCCCCAAGCCCGTCCCGGTGGGGCTTAGAGTATTATTCGGGAGTCGCACCTTCTGGCTCGTTCCTGCGTTAGCAGCATCCGTGTTTGTAGCAGGCACGTTCAAGGGATTTGTTTGAGTATTGGTGAGTCCTGGTCCTAGCGAGTTCGCGTTCATCTGGCTTTGTGAGAAATGGCTCCCGCCCCTTCCGCAAGCGTCAATCATGCGTTGAATATCTGGCTTGCTGACCTCTGCATCTTCGAATATTCGCGCGACACGCGAAAAATACATCCAGGGAATGCGCAACAGCAGGTGCAGATATATCACCCGCGGAAGAGTGTCTAGGAAGAAGATATGAATCGTATGCATGTCCATGGAATGGACGTGGTCAGATTTATGGACATGTGCAGCAAATGCGATACCATTCCCTTCTGCGTGAGGATCAATCGAATGATGAGCGGCGGAAGTATTATGGGAATGGGTGTTGGCTTTCATAGGAAGACTTTCTGTGTTGTTGACCTTACTAGGCAGACGCTTCCGAATCCACATCGGCAAACGAAACCTAGGAGATCCCGACGACCGCAGACTGAAAAGGAAGTGGGACTGGAAAGGATCAACAGGAATAAAAGGTTCTTCATGGTGAGAGGTGTGTGGTCGATGATGGATACCTTGGGACCATTGCTGGAGTATCCTCAGAGGCGATGCCGCTCTAGAGCGCGAATGCGATGGAGATCGGGAGCCAGCATCGAGATTGTCGGATTTAATGGTATATTCGCCGGGTACAGCATAAGAAGATGCAGTAGGATCACTGCCACGGCGAAGTCGATGCAGGACTGGTAGAGGGGTCAATGTATAATTAGAGAACGGATTCATCAATCAAATTGACCTTGTCGAACACTTTGCATTGTCGGTAACGATGTCCTGTCACTTTCCATCGATGCCCTACGGGAAGTCTCGTGGTCAAGAGATCCCTCAGACGCGCTCACCCGAGGTCTCCTTGTCTCCTTACCCGACATTCCTTTGTCAACATCAGGAAGCGCTGGGCTAAATCCAGCAAATGAATCCATATTGGTCCCAGATTGTGATATGCTCGGCCAAGACCTGGACGCATCAAGACTATGTCTAAATATTCGAGGCGATTGGCCCTGACTGTTCATCATAGGAGATCGGGCTCCGCGATTGGGGTTTGGACTTGCCATTGATGGAGGCAACGCAGAGAGCTTGTCAGAGTACGTCAGTGTAGAAGTAGCGTTCGAGTCTACGGGTAAAGTTACTACGAGGATTCTTAAGCGATATTCTTGTGATGAGAGCTTACCAGGGGAGGTCGACGGAGGACTTCCTTCTTCACGAAGGGTAGGAAAGAGCATAGAAGAAGGCCCTGCGACTATCTGTACAGCAACAACGTCGGCTTCGATGGTCTCCTCTGCGACATCAGCCTGAGGAGGCTGTTTAGAAACCATTATGAGATGGAGTTCCGAACGGTTTCTTGAAGGTAGCGTTGGAAGCCTTGATGCAAATTCTCTTGATATAGGATACGTATTTGCTGTGTGCTCCTTCTGCTGCTCTAGATGCCATAAAGATTATACAAGTAGGTAGAGACGCTGACGCCAAATGAGCAGAGAATGCTACTCCGTCACTGCATTTAGCTGCACATGAAGGATGTAGGAGAACGCCAAAAAGGAACCTATTCGCGTGACGCAATACCCATGGGCACGTGCAGAAGCTCACATTGCAAACTTTTTTAGTACGTGCATTCACATTTTCTACTGCCAGCCATCGTGAATGCTATCCAAGAGTATTTGACTAGCACTCCTGCGCTGCAACTGGTACAACCCACATATATTTCTCTTTCACGATAACACTCCACGATGTATCGACGAGTCGCCGATTTGTCCACCGCTAGCTAGCTAATGGCAAGGACCAAACTTCAACGCAGATAGCGGCCGACCCAAGGCGATTACATTTAATTTTGCACGTTTGGGTCTCTCTGACTATATATCGCTTTCAGTGTTCGAAAATCCCCTCCTTACGACTCCTTTCAGCTGATTTTTCCTCGTCTCTGCTCCATCTCTCGTCGCTCAATCCATCTTTCACGAAGAACCTCACCACGACCACGGCTAGTCGACTACCTTCTCGTCGACTCTCCAATATGCTAGAACCACAGTCTCTCATGATAGATCTGGAGAGCGAACTCTTTAACTACACTGCCGGACGTTTCCTATATGCCTCCTGCATCTTGTCTCGTCTTTGTCCAACTCGTAATGCGACGTACTCAGTGCCAACGATGCTCGTCACCTCCGAGAGCGCACGCGCGTCTTCAACATCCCCGGACTCTTCAACACTAATGCTAAGGCAATGAACTGCGGGACTGAACAGATCGTCGACTTTCGGAAGCTCGCAGAGGGTGGCTTCAACCGCATCTTTCTCATTACGCTGGACACCGAATTCCAGCTCGTTGCGCGCATCCCGTATCCCCTCCTTGTTCCCAAGACGTATGCTGTCGCCAGTGAAGTCGCTACCATGGACTTCCTTCGTTCCAAGGGGCTCCCCATTCTCAAGGTCTACGCGTATTCCTCTACATCAAACAACGAGGTTAAGACGGAATACATTCTAATGGAATACGTCAAAGGCACCAACTTGAGTCAGATATGGTCTGACCTAAAGGAGGATGAAATCATCTCGCTGATGGACCAGCTCGCGAAGGTCGAGTCCACTATGATGTCCATCTCTTTTCCCGCTGGCGGGAGCATTTACTACGCCAGAGACCTGAAGGAGCTATCGGGAAACGAGGGCATCCCACTCGACAACCAGGCTGAGAGTATCGCGTTCGAGAAGGAGCGATTCTGTATAGGCCCGATGTATCGGTACCGCTGTGGTATGGGCGAAGAGAACAACTGAAGGTGTTCCTAGGACCATG